TTCCATCTATTCAGCCGTGTCCACTCCAGCTTTCCTGGTTTCCCCGTGGGAGAGCAATGCTCAGGTTTTATCTCTGGTGCGTTTATCATGGCCTGTGGGTTTTGCCGTCACGTTCATTTATTAGACCTAAGGTGACTGGCTATCGTGCAGCCATCGGCATGCTTGGAAGCTGCTTTTCCCCCCCAGGCGCTGGGTGAAAGCAGGTTCCCACTGTGCCATAACCCATCAGCACTGTGGAAAAACACCCAGGCTGCGTGACGTCCAGAGCAGAGGGAGACCATCCCTCAGCTGTTGGAGTTTTTTTCCCTTTGAAGGGTCAAGTTATGTGAGATAAATAACTCTCCTGTGACCTGGGGATGGCTTGTGCAACAGCATATTAGGCTGGGGTCTGTGAGCTTTGCTGACCTTAGAGGATCCTTCTGCTGTTGAACTCTTCCTCGAGCGCTGGTGCGGTAACATGGGACCAGATCCCTTCTCCGACACAGACCTTCCACCTGGCCTTAGGCAAGTCACTTTTACCGGCCCTGTGAATCTTGGTTCAAGTGCTGTTGAGATCCCAGCAGGCTGCCTTGATCCCACCAAGCCAGGAAGGTGCCTAGAAATGAGGGGCAAAGTCCGGCCACCTCCATATGAGCAATTTGTGCACTGATGAGGCGTCAACAAACACCTCTGGGTACTCCATCTATGCTGGCCCTGAACGTTGCTCTGCTCTAAAAGCATCCTTCAGGTTTTTCAGGGATGTTTGTGCTGTCCCACCTTGGGGACACAAAGTAGGCAGCTGTGAGCAGAAAATGGCTTCAGTGAGAGGCAGTAACTGCCCTGCTTCCCTCCCAGCCTCAACTTCTGGCACGGCGCTTGCGTTTAAACAGTGCAGCAGAGCACTGGAACTTGTCAGGTGGAGACTTCTCTCACAATGCTGGGGTTTTCCTCCTCAAACTGCTCTTTTTTAAATCTTTTTTGCAGTGCTGTTTTCTTTGTGACCTACTTGATTCTTGCTTGCTGCTCCGGACCCAGGTAAACTACTTTCTTTTTAGGTTTGAAACAGCCCCACAAAATGAAGGACGAATGTTTTCTTCTTGTTTCAAGCATGACCAACTATGTTGTGGAGATGGGCTGGGGGTCATGCTGACACCGCGACGGCGGGGACTGAGGTGGCAGCTGTATTTGCAGGCCTGCTGCCGTCGCGGGTTGCTGCAATACAGCGTTACAAGCTGAAGCCAAATTGCAACTGGGAAGGAAGTCACGGTGCAGCAAAAATTGTGTTGCTGTGGAGCTCCCAATTCTCATTATTGAATACTGCAGAGGGCGGTCGTCTTTGCTCTCGTGGAGCAGAGCTCTGCTGGCTGCTCTGCTGGAATATCACGGGGACATTTGCCCTCTGGGTCCAGGAGCTCCCCAAATGCACCCTCATTCCCAACAGGATGACTGTCCCCTTGCACCACCCATTAATTAGATGGCCCATCTTCTGCGACCTGTCGCGCAGCGCTGCCAGCTACCTCTGCCCTCTGCGGCGCAGAGCTGACCCGTCTCTGTTTCTTCACTTGCAGGAGGTATTTCCCATGGAATCTGATCCTGCTGAGCATCTTTGTGAGTAGCACATCTGGACAGCATCTGCCCTGCCCCCTGCAACCAGCCTGGGCTTCATAATGGCTCCAAGCAGGAGAGATGCCTGGTCTGGATTCCTGCAGAAAGCAGGAATTTCATCCTCTTAATTGCCCTGCGCTTGGGCTGAGGAGCTGTAATTGAACTAGAATGTGATAAGCAGGAAAGAAGGGAGCCTCTGTTTAAAACAAACAAAAAAAAACCCCCCACAACGAAATCCAAACAAAAGAAACGCCTGCAGAGGCTGTTCAGTGGTGGGAGCTTGGGGTATGGTGCTGGAGTCCTGTGCAAGAGGGGTAGGGGGATGGAGAAGGTGGGACTGCTCTCAGGGTTGTGACCTGCCCTCGTTTTAACCCGCCCTGTGCATATTAATCACTGGAGGATTAGAAACTATGCAAAAAATTGCTTCTCTTGAGCATCCGTTTGAGGCTTCACTGCCCTTATCGCCGTAATTGAAATATTTTATCTGTTGCGTGTCTCTCTGGGACATGAATGCAGAAGTAATGTGGTTCTCTTCCCCTCCCAGACACTCTCCATGGCTTATCTCACCGGCATGCTCTCCAGGTAGGTTCAGTATGCGGTCTCTGGATGTCTTCTGGTCCTATGTCCTGTCTCTCTCTGCAAAAAAAAAAAAATCCCTGCTTCTGAAATATGGGCCCCCTGATCTCTCTGGAGCTGTTCCAGTAGCCACACGAATCCTGACCTTCTGAAAATACATTTAACGAAGCTCTCCAAGACCTGTGGTGTCCCCCCTTCTCTGTCACAGCCGAGGCAGCACAAGGTAGTTCCTGGCTATGCCAAATCCTATAGGGGAGCACCACAGAGCCAGGGGCACGGCAGTGTCTTTGTGGATGGGCTGTGGGGGACTGCCATGCACTGTGATCTCGCCTTTCCCACCAAGCAGCACTCTAGCAGATGGGGCTGGAGTGAGACAAGGAGTTTTTTCCAGCAGTTTCAGGGTTGTTTGGGGTTTTTTTTTGTAGTCTACAACTTGCTCCCTTTTGCTTGTGTTTTTACTGTTACAATCTGCTCACAAGATCAGCCCTGGTTCACGTGGGTCCCTGGTGATGAGGCAGATGAGCCAGTGGGTGTTGATGGATGGGGACAAAGAAAGTAGCGGCTTCAGCAGCTCGGGGAAAATACCAGCGATATCGCTCTCCAGTCAAACCGAAGGGGAGAGTGGGGACTGGTTTTTCTTAGGGCTGAGCCTGGTGCTGTAACCAAAATCCGAGTCAGACTCGGAAAAGAAATTACAACCTTGACGCTGACGTCTCTCTACCTGTTCAAACCCCTCCTGCCCTGCAGTTTTCCAAGACCCAAACCCCCGTTAAGAGCACATCAGGGGTGTGACAGTGGCTACAGCTTTCTGGTGTCTTATTGTGCTCCCATGACATTTGTCATTCTATTTTTATTACCTCCCAGTTTGAATCCTCCCCCTTCTCCATCTGTCCATGGACAGATAGATTGTTTTTTTTTTTGTAGTAAGTCCCCATCTTAGCCGCTTATGAGTTCCCAGGAGGGATAGACATGCCCTCCTGCCTATCCTCTTCTATTTAAAGCAGAAGGAAAACCCATAAAGTCTTTTTTTAGTGTTTTCTATCCTTTCCTCTTTAGATTAAGGGAGGACATTGATAATTGCAGTGCTGTTTGTGCCTCTAGGACTCACGCTTTTCTTGTACACCTCTGCTAAGCTTCTGCCTGTTGTCATCCCTCCTTCCCCCTGTCCCCGTGGGAAACACTGAAAAGTGGTTTTGCTGTTCATTTTGCAGCTACTACAATACCAAGTCAGTCCTCCTGTGCCTGGGGATCACAGCCCTGGTGTGCCTGTCTGTCACGATCTTCAGCTTCCAGACCAAGGTGAGTTTGTGGGGATCAGTCCCTCTGGGAGAGGCACCTCCCTGGGGTAGGACATGAGGTCAGGTAGTGCTGGGCGTGAGGTGTGAAGGGGCAGGTCTGTAGGGCTCTGGATACGACCTGAGGAGTGCTGGGATGTAAAGTGAAGGTTACAGGGTTAGGACAGATGCTGGGGTGAGGGATGTGTATGTGAGGGTATGTTGGGTGGTTTTTGGAGGCTTAGGCTGTGGGGTACAGAACAACACTGGCACAAATGTCTATGGTGGGCTTTTGGATTTCAGATACGTGATGGGCACAGAGTTCTTGCCCACAGCAATAAAAGGGATATGGTAAACGTTTGGCTCTGCGTGCCACACAGATGGGTGGTGGGTTATGGGACGCGAGATGCAGACGAAGCAGTTGCCGTGTGACAGCACGAGGAGTGTGTGCTGCTGGAGAGTCCTTCCCTGTGGACACGGGGAGGTTTGGCTCCCCTCGCTGCCTCCTGCTTCAGCCCTCGGCACTTGTAACGTGACGTTCTTTGCCTCTGCAGTTCGACTTCACCTCCTACCAGGGCGTCCTCTTCGTGATGCTCATGGTGCTTTTCTTTGGTGGCATCATCCTGGCTGTGATCCTGCCCTACCAATACGTGAGTAACGACCTGTGCCCCTCCTTCCTCACCCAGTGCCACCAGTCCTGGTGTAAGGCTGGGAACTGATGAGCCCAAAGTGGGCAAACTCCAGGGCTTGTGAAGGGTGTCCCAGAAAATGTGCAGAAACACCAGAAGAAAGAAAAGGCAAGACCAGGAGGCTGTTGCCTGGTGGTTGTACAATCGAATAGCAGGTGGTCGGACAGCACTGGCCTCCTGGGCTTCGTAGTGATCCCATGGCAGGTCACATCACCTACTTGTGCCTCAGTTTCCCCTCCAGTAAAACCAGGATAGTGCGCGCATCAACGCCCTGGCCTGCCCCATACAGGGCCCCGGCCCCGGGTTTGG